AGGGAAACACAGTGTCCAGGCCCTGGGTTCTCAGTGGTCTACCTCCTGAGCAGCTGCAAGCACTCCTGCCTCTACCTGAAGGCTATGAGTCCAATCTCTAGTCATAAAACAATCCCTGTTTGATACAGCCTTCGAGGGGCTCAAACATTTCCCAAAGCAGGAAACTCATTGTCTCCCTACCCTCCTGACATAGCCATTGAAATCCGCCTCCTGTTCTGAGTATTGTCCTCTGGGGCTATGTGGGGGGGGAAAAAAAAAAAAAAGACTAAAATAAAGCTGTCGTATTTCTCTCAAAACTCTCACTTGCTCCGTAGGAGGCTGAGATTCCTTATACAATAGAGGAAATTCCCAGAGGAGATCATTTCTTTCAGCCAAGGCTGGGGACCTGGGGAGGCCATGCAGATTTCAGAGCTAGATAAACTTGGGTATGACCCTGGCTCTGCTATCTACTGTTACCTGACCTTGGGCAAACCTACATTAGCACTTCGAGTATGTTTCCTCATCTGTAAAATGCAGGGCTGTGATCCTTAGAGCTGATATTTTCGCCAGATAGGTACTCTCTAGTTACGGAGGTGGCTATTTTATGATCACGCATCACCAGTTACGATGGGTCTATCACCAGATCATGAACCTGGGAGACTGGTGAACCGTTCTTGAGTTTTGCTAGTAGTCTGAGCAGCAGCTATGATATTGGCAGTAACCTCAGTGGTTTTTTTTTCCCTACACCTGCATGAACAGGCATGGCTTGATTCTGCCTTTGGGTGATGCCATTTAGGCAAAGCTCCCAGGCATCAAAGCCAAAAACAGGTGGCTGAGCCACGTGTCTAGGAGGCAGAGGCCATTCTCCTGACACTCCCCTGAGTCGGTGGTCTGATGGGCACAGCCCTGTCCAAAATATCAGAGACTAATAGGACCAAACAGAACCAGGAATGTCAGCAGTGAAAGGGCAGGGCCGCTCCATGGCCATCTTACCTTATCTTCATTGGCAACAAGCAAAGTTTCCATCCCCATTTTCAGACGTTGGATTTCTTGGTCTAAAAGAATTTAGGTATAGGAAGAATTATTTACGTAAATGCAGACAACTATTCCCACCTGCTGAGATGCTAAGACCTTTCCATATGAATAAGTTACATGTGGCTCCCTACTTCTTTCAAGAGCCCATGATGGTGTCTGGCATAGAGTCAGTCTCATTACATATTTGTTGGACTATTAAACGAATGAACCTACTATTTTGTCTTCTCTTTATAGACATTTGTGGGGAAAACACAAAATGCCATTTATTCAAGGGTGACACAGGAACCCCCAAATCTTTCACAACTGACATCCCACAAGGAAACAGACATTTATCCTTTATGACCTGAGTAGGCATGTACCTGGGCTGCTAACTAGTTTCAGAGAGAATCACACTGTCCCATGGATTGTAGCAGAGGAGAATTTAAAATGAGAAAAAAAAGGAAGTGTGTAGCTGAACAGAGACAGGGAAAGAATAATTATGTAGAGAAGAGTCAGGTACTTGGCTCAATTTAGAAGGTCACAGTCGGAATTGACTAACAGTGTTTAGCTGGATCGATAAATATGTTAAAACAAACTCTACTGTTAAGGGAAACGATCTTATTTCATCATAAGCCTACAGAATTTCTCTATGGGCCAAGGGATCTTTGTCAGTCTGTGGTGGACAACACATTGCCTTATCTCACTTTGGACCCAAGAGACTCTCTCGAATTCTTCCCAAACTAGTCTGGAGAGCCAGGTCAAAGGCCAAAGCCTAAAGGAGCTCGGGGTCGTCCTGCCCAATATGTGGAGGTCTAAGAATTAACACATAGCTAGTTTTTCCAAGCAAATCCCTATACCTGTCCCCAAATTGGGTACTACAGAGAATAGGGATGTCTACGTAAGAAAAATACAGGAGACAAGGGAACAAAAATATGTATAGTCACCCCATCTCCTTTTGGGATGCTTGCTACATCCGGCAAGAATAGGAAGAATGGATTTAGGACTTTGTGTAATTAGTTGTAGGGATTCAGCTTCAGAGGAAGGTGCAGAGTGCTGTTCACTATCTTAGGCTCTCGGCGGCTAAAGATCAGCTTGGCAACCCAGTCTGTGGAGGGGAGGGCAGTAAGCTCCAGACGAAGATGGGCAAACCTTGATGCCATGGGCAGGCCGCAGCCAGAGCAAGGCCCCGAGGATCAGCTCCAGGATGTGCCGGGCGATGGAATGCGGCGGGGCCTAGAAGGCGAGGCCTGTGGGGAAGCACGGAGAGCAGGGGAAGCCTGCCTGGCCCGGAATTCGGGGCCTGGGGAGCTCTCTATGCAAGTTTAGCATCACAGACAGTCTAGAATATCTCAGGGGTCTCCAGCCTCCACATTAGGCCGTGGCAAGTAGGTGACATACTCGATGGCTTGAGAAGACAAGAGAAAGCCTGGTGGAGGGATGAGCACATGGGTCACTAATTTCCTCCTCCCGCTTAAGCCATTGTTTCAGGGCTGCACAGCTTCCCCACCCCAGCCAGAGATCCTAAGCTAAGTGGTGCCGGTGCCGAGGCCCAGCTGCAACTCTGTAGTCGGGCTAATTCACAGGGCTCCCCAGCACTGCTCTGAAGCCCGGGGGCCAGAGGAGAAGCTGGAGGATGTGTGATCATTTTGTATATAAGGCAAATAGCTGTAAATATCAAATACGCATTAAGAATATTTGAGGATTTAGCCTCTATTTTTAATCAGCAAGATTTGAACTCCTCAGGGACCATTCACCATCCTTTCACTTATTCCATAAATATTTCTTAGCAGCCATGGGCTGAATGCCGTGTGAAGCTGTGGATATGGTCTCAAATAAGAGAGACACAGTCACTGCCCTAGGAGGATGACAGCCTATACAAGACCTCACAAAATACAACACTGATCAATTACAATAAGTACTATGAAAGAAAAAAAGAATGCTGAGTTTGAGAAAAATGGGGGCACCTAGTTGAGGTAGGGTGGCCAGGAAAGGTCTTCCTGAGAGGTATCATTTAAGTTGAGATCCAAAGGATGGGAAATAACGAATTTGTTTCTGTAACCTCAGGCTCTTATGTGAGTATCAGGCAGGGCTCCATTCAATGACTGAACGAATTGCTAGAGCCTCCTCTTTGGTGATGACACAAAGACAAGTCCTTTCAATTAAGGG